CCGCATTGAACCAACTTTTAGCGATCCCGGACCATTACGTAATAAGCTTCCTCGTAGCCAATAAGGTAAATTACCTGCGTAAAATATTTTGAAGTAGGTACTTTGGGAAAGATTTATTTGCACATATTTTTTTAACTGAAGTTTACCGGTAAAGGACTCCTGAACAAGAATCTTCCTAGGCAGACACCTAGATACTTGTTATTCTACAGTCAACAAATAACCTTTGTATACTTACGGTGAGGGTCGTAAAAAAGAACTGTAAGAAAATTTTACGTGGTAAAATTATGCTTCAACTACATTTATATACACGCTCTCACAGAATACCAACGTAGCGTAGCAACTTAACGCTACTGTGTTTTGTATGGTGATTGTAGAGATCTGATGACCCTTTTTACTGAAAACGAGGCATTCCATATTAGTCCTCACGAATGACAACACATCTGCATTTTAATTAGTAACCGAAGATGTCTATTTGCCACAGCAACCACTTATAATCAGGTGGACTGTGTGCTCGTGTGTCACCCTTTTCCTATAAAAAAAATACAAAATCTGAAACTAACCGTTATAGTCTCACCATCAGATCAACTTTTCATAATATTGGATGTAACAAATTGTAAACGCGAAGCCTGCCCTATGGTAAGTGGTTTGCAGCTCATGGACACGTGCAAATAATTTTATGAAATAAGGCACATGTATCAGATTATCTTATTTAAATAATAAGATGAAATGGTTCACAGATAGATATGATGTAGTGCCTGTCTGTGATTCCAACTTTTTTAATTAAATTTGTCTTTCGTCTTGTATATTGTGTGATTCCTTACTTAGTTTAAACATATTTTTTCCGTTCTAAATATTTTTAGGATCGATTTAGCTCCGACAACCTAAATTAAGAGTAATAAAATTTGCATGTATCATATTAATAAATAGAAATGTCTCACCACGTGGTAACATATAATATAATTCTTGTAGGTTGGCGCCAAAACCGATAAATTACCGAAAACGCCATTAAAATCGTGTATGACAAGATTACCACTAAATCCTTCAAAATACAAATTAAAGATATTTCACGGTACATTTAATCTGGTACTGTGGTCCACATTAAGCATGCCAAATTTCGAAATAAACTTTTAATTTAAAAGAGACTCTTGTCAACCAAAAAACTTGCAACATATGTGAAACCATCACCCCTCACCACATCTCTTTTGTCGTGACAATTCAGGAATGATCCCGAAGGTTTTACGGCATCCAATGTACTACAGACAATACACAATATAAATGCTAAGTGCATTATTCAGCAACTTACACTCATACAGTTTTAATAACTAAAATATATAATAATAAAAAATACAAAATAAAATAGTAGGTACATAAAAAAAACAATAATAAAAATATTATCTCTTATCTATACGAGATATATTAAATACGTAGTAGAGTCACGCTGCAACTATCTACATTATAGTTGTAACACGAATGGGTCGACTCTACTGAGGTAGCACCACGCTCTCACAGAATACCAGCGTAAAACAGCAACACAATGCTGCCGTGTTTCGTGTTGTGAGTATAGAGAATAGGAGACCCCTTTTACTGTAAAGTAAAAGTAAAGTAAAGTTACAGCCTATATACGTCCCACTGCTGGGCTCAGGCCTCCCCTCATTTCTGAGAGGGTTTAGGGCAAGGAAGTGTCCGCCGCGCTGCCCAAATGCGTGTTGACGAACTTCACATGTCTTCGAAATATTTTTTTTTCTTATTCCTCAGACATGCAGGTTTCCTCACGATGTTTTCCTTCACCGCCGAGCACGTGGTAAATCAGCACTTAAAATTGCAATTAACAATTTCATTGGTGCCGGCGGGGATCGAACCCGGGTTACTCGCGTTCTGTTATATTTACAGCGAGCGTTAACCACTGAGCTACCACGGCTCTACTGGAAAAGAGGAATTCCATTTTAGTCCTCAGGGGTGACAATGCGTCTGAATTTTGATTCCTTATTGAAGATAAATATAAATGTATACTTACCATCAGAGGACTGTCTGCTTGTTCCTCACCCTTATTTTATAAGGGTGACAAATAAAAATATATAAAATTACCAAACCGGCGACCAGTACCATCATCAAAATTACGCATCACCAGTCTACTTACAAAGCTTAAGTATTACTGCAAATCCTTGCCTACAATCGTAGCTCGTTTTCAGCAATGGAATTTACACATACTGATGACGAAGAAGTAAAAAATCAAATTGATTAATTGGGTCCGAAGTAATTGATTAATTGTATAAAAAACTCAGTACTGTCCTTGGGTTTATTCATTTTATTTTATATGTATATTAGTAATTTTCTTCAGTTCATTCATCAGCCAATGGGTTGATGGAATTAACGTGTGGTCGCAACAAAAGAGAATCACTTCATTCGTCCCGTAGGTGTCACCAGAAGCGGATACGGGATATTGAAGGAAGATCTCATAGCCATGAGATCCGACGGCTATTGATAGATGAGTCCGAAAGGTGACGGTGTGACCATCTTTGTTTGCGCCACACGTCAAAATACCCAAACCCGCTACGGACAGCAGTCTCAGCGTAAAAACGCAAGACTCAATTTTGAGATTACCTTGTCTCGTACTGTCTCTATCACTTTAAGTCAAAGCAATTGCGACACTACGACACTTAACGACGTCTTAAAATTGAGTAGTGTTTGAGCTTTTTTAGGGTTCCGTAGTCAACCAGGAACCCCTATAGTTTCGCCATGTCTGTCTGTCCGTCTTATTATTATTATTATTAAGCGAGGACGGACGTCCTCGCTTAATCTCTGTGACCGTTAGCACTAGAAAGCTGATATTTTGGTACCATTATGTGTATCAATCACGCCGACAAAGTGGTAAAATAAAAATTGGAAAAATATTTTTTATTAGGGTAGCCCCCCTATATGTAAAGTGGGAAGTGATTTTTTTTTAATTTCAAGCCTAACGTGTGATATATTGTGGGAAAGGTATTTAAAAATGAATAGGGGTTTACTGAAATCATTTTTTGATAATGTCAATAATTTCGGAAATAATCGCTCCAAAAGTAAAAAACAATGTGTACCCCCCTAACTTTTGAACCATAAGTTTAGAAAGTATGAAAAAAATCTGAAAAGTACAGCTTTATAAGGACTTTCTAGGAAAATCATTTTGACCTTGGATGGAATCAACAGTTTTTGTACAAACTCATAAGTGGAAACACTTATTGTGACGGACAGGAAACTACGGAACCCTACACTGAGCGTGGCCCGACACGCTCTTGGCCGGTTTTTATTTATGGGATAAGGGTGACAAACGAGTGTGATTTTTCACGCTGCACATTCGCTTGGTGTTTTGTTTATGTTATCAAAATACAATAGTATTTTTGTAATGAAGTAAAACCTGACTTTTATATAGAGAACTTTGTATAGATTTTATAATGCCAAACTTCTTCACAAAAAGTAGTCTCTAAATAATCGTTTAAAGTGCTGCGCTTGGGTGCGGTCGCATGTGACCACTCGGGATTTGCCGGGCGCATGCGACTGCATGGGATTTTTATTGGGATTAAGGGGCTAAGAATCAAAATGCAGATTCGTTGTCACTCTTGACGACTAAGATGGAATGCCTCGATTCCAGTGAAACGGGTCTCCGGTTCTTTACACTTATCACGCGAAACACAGCAGCATTAAGCTGCTATGTTATGCTGGTATTGTGAGAGCGTGGTCCTTCCCCGGTCGAGCTGACCCATTCACGCTACAACCATAATAGGGACGACGTGGCTGTACCACGACGTGGCTTAAATCCCAGGCGGAAAGATATAATTTATTAAATATGATTATGACGTGTGAAATCGTGTAGTGACCGCGTAAGAACATCATCCGTTAATTATTCCTGCGACCATCTGAGGGTGCCGTTAGAGGTGACAAAGGGAAACTTAAACAGAGGACGGGCAGCAACACTATCTCGACAACAACTCAATCATAATATTAAAAACTACGGATGCTGCAATTATAGCAAATGAGATAATCTATAAAATACAGGCCGTATTCAAAAGTAGACGTGTAATAGTCTGTAATAAATGATGATGATAATAAATGTATCGTGATTGTTTCCATTTGCCCGACGTTTATCCTGAACTACCTTTGAATCTTGTAGCATTAAAGACATCGGACACACTGAACACAAGTTATGTAGTGCAAATAATTACGTTTTCGTGACCCGTACAATTATAACATTTGATGTCTCTCGAAATAGCATACAACTATTGGGGACTTGACGCCATAATCGAAATAAAAAGTCAAAAGGTATTTATACGCAATACATTGTAACGAATATAATATATTCTGTTGTATTCTATTAAACGTGTAGCGGCTACCCCACATCATCTCGTGGATAAGTAGAGGTAAGAGACAATAAAGGGAAAAAATCAGGATATGTGCAGCAGCGTGTTCATAATAATAACGAAAAGGAACTGCGCTTGCAAGCGTGGCAACGGTGGCAAATATGATCCAGTCTAGGAGTAGATCTTGGATAGGCGTAACAGTAACGGTTTTATTCTATATTTAGTCTATATATTTAAATTATTAATACCGTTTGTTCGCGGCACAAAATAACCCATCACACTATTCGGTCTCGAGGGTGACGACACGACGCCATAGAAGCTTGTTTACGCCAGATGCAAAATACCCACACTGGTGTTGGGAATGAGCATTAAAAGTGTAAGATATCTGGTCGTCAACCCGTCTGCCAAGCATGACAATTAATATCTTCCCACAACTATATTGTTCTATGTCGAGTAGTAAGTTTAAGGGGTGTGAAGAAGTAGAAGCAGAATTAACAAGTAATATCCCACCTGTAACCGTGCCAGAAATAGGCTGCGTTACCTCGTCATCGCATGACCTCAACCACACGCTATTGTTACACTTTGGATATAACTTTTCACCGCACTCCGCCATCTCTTAAACAGTACGAACTGTTTCATAAGCTGCGCAATATATTTAAATATAAATTATTATTTTTCGTTTTTTGAACCTTAAACAAAAAAGTTAATTAACACATTTAATAACGTACAACAAACCGATAAAGAATGTGCTACGATACTATGCTATTCAATAAAATTAACACACCTAACACACGAAAAATTTGTGATCTTTACATGTTTGCAAAATTTTTATATTCAAAATTGAACCGACAACGTTTTTGATTGCTTAGTCAAACACAAATTTCTTTAAGATATCTGGCCAGTGCCGCGGTGCAAACTGAAATGCTGAAAACTGAGAGGTTAGGGCAAATACTTTGCGTAGATCGTAGACGTCACCCTCGCTCTAACGTCCTTCAGAACAAATTGCATGAATATCAAGTCTACGGATATATTACACACGATATCAATACAAATTTAACTGTACACTAGTATAAGTGCAGTCTCTAAGAATATGTATTGCATTACTGACATTTTTATATAAGGCTTCAAACGAAAACGATGATATAACACAGATTCTGAAGTATATATTTTGAGATTTATACATAAATTATGAAAACATAGGACATATATAAACGTATACCTGATGAAATTTTCTCACGGAATACCAACGTAAAATATCAGCTTAACGCTGCTGTGTTTTGTACGGTGAGTGTAGAGAACCGGAGACCCTTTTTGCTGGAAACGAGGCATTCCATCTTAGTCCTCCCGGGTAACAACGCATCTGCATTTTGATTCGTAATCGAGGATAGATGTAGATGTCTACGGGCCGCAGTAACCACTTACTTAGGTCACAGATTAGTAAATAGTTTGCTTAGGTGGACTGTGTGCTCGTTTGTCACCCTTTTTCTATAAAAAATGGATACTTACTTATAATTTAAATTACGTATTTTATATCACAACAAAAGCAGCACAGGTAGCTTTATTTACACTTTAAATTAGGGATGGGTCGAATATGAATTTCACCGAATACGAATATTCGGCCGTAAGTTCAGTAAAACTTTTATCGAACCGATTACTGGGCCGAACATTATTCGGTAGGATCACCGATGTACCTAACCAATTTATGTCTAAACTTGTTACCGTAAAGCGCGCTAGATTACCGCCAGAGCCTTCCCCTTGCTCCCCCGCCACACCTGACATGTTGTTGCATCATCTAGTACTGAGCAAATTGCCGGCACATGTTTACGTTTTGACTATTTTTATGAGAAAAAAAGTATTCTTAGTGAAAATTGATAAGCATGTGGTGAAAATGAGAGGCACGAGATCTACTATTTGGACCAATTTTAGAGAAACTAACGACTGTAATGTAATGTTTCTTTGTGATTCCAAACAAAATTTTATCAAGCTTTTTATTTGCTATAATTGGAAATAAATCTATAGTGTCTCAAATACATATCGTTATACAAGTAGATTTAAACCATAAATAAATATACTTTTCACAGTAAAACGATGAAAGACATGGCATTACTCAATTCGTACATTTCCATACAGTGGATAATATTTGAGTACCACTTTAACGAATATTCGGTGACAGCCGAATATTCGGCCGAATACGAATATTCGGTAAACCTGCCGAATACCGAATATAAAACGAATATTCGGCCCATCTCTACTTTAAATACGTAAACGTTATATTTAAAAATAAATATTAGTAATATAAATCCCTCCCCACCAGAAGACGCCTTAGACCAAATGTTGGAATAAACGGGTTGTTGAAAGAAGATGATTTTCCGTCGCTTTAGACCATGTTTTTCGAAATTTTTTTAATAAACATTCCCATATATTATTTCTTTAAACACATTTTAAACAATTTAATAAATTAAACCGTATGAATTAAACCGCGAATTATATTTTTTCTGTATAATGACCATGAGCATACATTCTCTTGACATTGAAACTTTCAGTAAGGACATCAACATAATATTGTGGTTCAAATAGTAAGTAATGGAGGATATTAAAATACTCTTCATTTTTATTAGCCTTTCATGCCGCTTTCAAGAATGCTTTGCAAGACCAAATTACGCATTCTTTGTCTCTTAATAGGTGTTTTAATGCCTTTGAAGAATTTGGAAAATCATAAACTTTGAGTGCCTCCATCTCCGGCACTTTTAACAGTAAAGCGACAGTCTGTCCATCTTACAATGTTGTCATTCCTGATAGGGTTTTAGGGCAGAGAGGAGCTCACCGCGTTGCCTCAGTCCGTGGACTTCATATGTCTTTCCTATTATTTCCCTTCTTTCCTTACGTTTTTCTTTTTTAGAAGATTCTTCGCGATGTTTTCATTTTCCGTTAATTTAAGTGGTGCTGGCCGAGTAGAACACAATTTACTCGTATGTTACGAACTTTTGATGCGAGCACTTGTTCCTTGAGCTACTAGGACATTATCAATAGTAATCAATTGAAAATAAAGACCGCGACAACATGCATACGATGGTAAGGAGAAATTGTAACTGCGATTGAAATTGGCAATAAATAAAAAAAAACGATTTTCTTACAAAAACACATACATACACGATATTAAAGTGAAAAGTAAAGTTACATCCAATATAAATCTCATAGCAATACACAGATCATTATGAAACATTTAGCACGCCGAGCTGACCCAGTGGGTGTTGGCGGACTTGACATGTTATGCGATTATTTTAATTTTCAATACATGCTACCTGGCGATATTTTGCTTCAAGACCGAGCAGGTGGTAAACCAGCACTTAAATATCAATAAACTTAAAATTGGCGTGCCGGCTAGGATCGCACTTGATTTGTTCGCCGACCCACGTAATTTAATTTTTTAAGTATCTTAGCGGCTTATATGTGGATTTATAGACTCTCTAGTATGGCTTGATAACATTATCAAATTCCATTAAAATTAGGTAAATGAACATTACTTTCATATAAATACATTTATAACATAAGTATGAATTATCGCTATGATATATCTTGTTATCGTTAAAATAAAAAACAAGACAATCGAGCAAAATGGATTATTAACGAAAAAACAGAACAAGTAATCGCCAAGCCAACCTTTGAAACTATAAGGTGAAATTTTAAAAGTAACCATGCTACGGCTATATTGTGATTGTAGCACGAATAGGTCGCAGCTTAACGCTGCTGTGTTTCGTATGGTGAGTGTAGAGAACCGAATTGGCTTGTTACTGGAAATGGGGCATTCCATCGTAACTCTCAGAGGTAACGACGCATCTGCATTTTGATTTTTAACCGTGGATAAATATAGATGTGTACAGTAGCATCGACTTCTTCTTCTTCTTTCTTTCTTTTGTGGCGGTTTGATAAAATTCGCCAATGACGTATTGAGTGGAAAATGAAAGCTTATGAGTTTAATTAAAAGTACCCGGTTGACCGAGCTTTGCTCGGTATTTTTCGCTCGATTTTTTTTAATTCGTGTTTTTGGAAATATTTAGATACAAATTACATACTGATGAAATATAAATAATATTTTTCGATCTTAGCAACATAACAGAAAAAACGGAACTGATTATTTGAATAAAAAATCATGAGTGCAATTATTTTAATTTAAATTTTCGTGTTTTTAAAAAATACTAAAAAAAGGGCTCGAAAAAATAGATTTTCTCAAAAAAAGAAAAGAACTTGAAAAAAAAATTAAAAAAAGTCGGTCGGTCTGTCTGGGCTCGAACCGGGGTTTTACAATTCTGTAACCGCCCATTATATCAATTATGCTATTTATAATCATTAACAACATGTCAAAATTTACCTTCTTATTCTAACGATATTGTAGCAGTTTTTCATTGCCTAAAAACACGGACAAAAAGACATTTTCTAAAAATAAATCCTAGCTAGATCGATTTATTATCCCCGAAACTCCCTGGACACTAAATTTTATGAAAATCGTTGGAGCCGTTTCCGAGATCCCGATTATATATATATACAAGAATTGCTCGTTTAATAGTATAGGATAAGAGTCTGTGATAATACAAGTTACGATCAAGTGAACTGTGTGTTCGTTTGTCATTTTTATTCTAGTGTCAAGTACCAACTCGCAACGACTTCGTAAACTTAACTATTATCGTTAAATATATCGATGACATTACATGTAACTTTACTTATACCGTTAACTCTTTAATTAATGAACGTTAAATTAAATAACGTTAACTGTAGGTAAACGCTGTATTTTTTAGCCATTGTTAATTTTACCACCATTTTGTTGGTGTTTCAAGCCTTGCTTTTCAGAAACCACAGACCATATATTTGCAATTTTATTTACACATTTACTGTTGCTTTTTGCGCTATGTTAAATAATATTAACGTTCCCCGCTTTCGCTTGTGCCTTCAGTCCGTACGAAATTGAATCCGGTGGGATAATCCGGGCGTCGAGGGAAGGCTCCTACTGCCATGACCTCTGAAAGGCAAGGCCAATGAACAAGTTCAATATACATATGTACATACGCTATTAATTCAATTTGGAATATTACTTTATTTCGTTGACGTAAATTATAAAGGGAAGTGACCTTCACTTGCGTCGTTATATTAACCGCTGATTTTGCAATTATAAGATAAAGGGTATTCATAGAATAAAATACATTAGAAGGAAATTTAAAATTGCAACTGTGTGTGATATAAAAGTGAATAAAATACATAAATTGTTTATAACTTTGACAATGGAGAAAACAATGAGAAAAAGAAAATTATCAATACTGTACTTATTTCGAAAACCTAACATGAATATAAACAATTTAGTAGTATTTTACTCACTGCACCGCATTAAAAGTGCCGTATCGTATACTCCGCCATTGTGTAAGAATGTCCCCATATATATCCGCAGATGTAGCAAGAGGCGACAGATGAAAATAAACCACGAGATGGTCAGCGGCGTCTTTCTAATAAACGTTTAAACAAATTTAAAAACTGCGGTTCTAAAGTGGTAACTATGGCAAAATTCCCCCCTACGAAGCAAACTATGGTACATATGCTTGGCAGTAAATTTTTTATTGGCAGTAACTGTGGTTATTTAGCAAATTGAATGCGACAATGTAGCTATGACTGTAGCACAATTATCCCTTTTTTAAATAAAATGAGGGCGTGATTGTAACATGTGTACATTGGCAGATACGCCTGGCAAGAGTGGCGATTATAAGTCCTCCTTACATAAGGAGAGAACTAGATAGCGGTGAAGAATTAAACCGCATGACATA